CCAATGAGTCGTGTATCTTGCTTCCCATACCCAGTGGGACACAGAAACACGCATAATCGTATCTCGGAACTCTTGAACAACTGCGAAACAAATTTGGATTGTTGCTCAACTGGTGAACGACTTTTCAGATGCTTCGCTGCTGGATTGTTGGTCAACAAAGGACCTTGGTCTGTTGGACGTGGGCATGAAATCCTTTCTCGCAATTATTTCGCAACAGTTGCAAGACATTTTTGGATTTGTTGAGCAACTGTTTCATATACAATGTTGAGCAATAACGTATCTTGGTCTGGACTAAGCCTTAGAGATTAAGAGGGTCAGTAAGGAACATTGAAAAGCTGAAGAAAATGGACATGACACCATCTGGCTTTATGGAAGTATTCCCGGGACACCAGGTGCGGGTAAACCCGAGTAAGTCTATATGCATTGTCTCGAAGGTAGCAAGATACCCTGACCAGGATATGGATAGGACATCAGTCCAATGTCGTAAGGCATCCTGTACAAAATGTACTGCCAACACTGCAAAATGTGCAATGAATCACACATCTTATGAAACCCATTACTGTTGCACGAAAACAGAATTTTCTTGATCAAAGAGCACTGTCCAAAAAAAAAAAAAAAAAAAAAAAAAAAAAAAAAAAAAAAAAAAATGTTGAGTGTATCAATTTAATTATGAGCGTTATTTTTCATTCAATATGATAAGTGGTATTTTTAAAAATGCCGTCCATATGGCATGTAGATAAAGTTCCTACAAGGCACAGCCCTTCAGCTTGTAGAACGGATGATCTACTCTATAAAAGTAGAAGGGAAGAATGTCTGGATGCTGCTTTGACGTCTTACCTTGACGTTTTTGCAGATCATATATACTGCTCCGTGAATAAGTCTCATCAAATAATTTCTCTCTCTCTCTCTCTCTCTCTCTCTCTCTCTCTCTCTCTCTCTCTCTCTCTCTCTCTCTCTCTTCTCTCTCTCTCTCTCTCCTCTATAATATATATATATATTATATATATATACAATATATAATATATATATATATATTTATCTAAACTCTATTCTATATGATAAACAAGATTTGCAGGATGTAATTAATTATAGTAATTTTATAAGTAATAAAAATTCCCAATTAAATATCTGTAGCTTTAAAATTATTTCAATGAAGTCTGATATAAGAGTTGGTTTAGCTAAAATGTAAATGAAATTTACAAACATTCACTCCTCACTTGAAAAGCTGTAATGTGTCTATATAAAGATTAGTTTGGAGGGCTAAAAGGTTGCACAATCTAAAATATCTAGGCAAGAACGAGCACAGATTCTCATTTCCGAATTTAATTCATATATTACTCTTATTTATTTCTTTAGCATAGCCATTAATAAAAATATTGAACACAGTTAGACTTCAAATATCTCATTGTCTCCCTTATGCTATGTGATACCCATTAACCCTGAAGTGACATGTGGAGTTGTGACTGTACAATCTGGACTTGGGGATATACAAATGCTATCCCTTTGTGGCTCTTCAGGGAGAGATGGGTTTCACGCCTCCTGAGATCAGACCAGAGATAGATATTTTGTCTGTGGGATCATCTCACATGGCTAACTTATGAGAGACTCCCTGTATGATAATCGAGAATGAATACAAAGCAAAACTATTCTGCTACGTAGACTTAATTGACATTTTCAGTCAGCTGCATAGGCAACCAGTAGGACTTTTCCCTGGGTGGACTCTCCCCCTGCAGTTATTTTTTGACATGAGCATTCACCTGCGGGCGTTTTGAGTAGAAGGACATTTCCCTACGTGGATTTTGAAAGCGGCCTTATCCTATATTACTACTTCCTTGCTCTCACTACTTTGGATATTAAGAAAAAAACAAGGAATCGTATTTAGTTGCTAAACGATAAATTTATCAGTATTGACAGTCTCTCTCTCTCTCTCTCTCTCTCTCTCTCTCTCTCTCTCTCTCTCTCTCTCTCTCTCTCTCCCTTTCTCTGTCTCTCTCTAACCCTCTCTCTCTCTCTCTCTAACCCTCTCTCTGTCTCTCTCTAACCCTCTCTCTGTCTCTCTCTAACCCCCTCTCTCTCTCTCTCTCTCTCTCTCTCTCTCTCTCTCTCTCTCTCTCTCTCTAGTGTAATCTTGCCAGGATTCCTGGCGATTCCTGACAGGCATTGATCACTGCTTCGCGAGCGGACCTCGGGTCATCTCTTCCCCAGGTGTCAGCACGGGGAAATGGAGGGTGGAAGTTTTAACTCGCCAAGATATACCCTGAAAGTGGATCTCATAAGAAGGAGAAAAGTGAAGGGAGTGACGTAATGAGCGACAATGAGAATGGATGTGAACGGGAAAAGACGAAGAAGAACCACAAGGCAACTGAAGCAGGAGACCAGAATGTTGCGAGTGTGAATGGCAGGAAAGGACTGTTATTCCCACAGGAATGTGCCAGGTGTTTCATGGAGAAATTAAGGCCGGCCATGCAACTGGCCCGGGACCACTGTAACTTCAAGCCACTGATAAGGAAGGCAGAGGGAGGCCGTATCTCACTGTGCGGACAAGCAGGGCAAAGCAGACCCTCATGACTCAGGGATACAAGGGATTGTGATGTCTGTCCCAAAGGCTGGGGAAAGGGTCACTAAAGTGATAATTTTCCAATATCCGGGGTGAGTAGCAGAGTCAGCTTATTGTCCTCGTGGAAGGGTTTTCATCTCCTGTACCCCACAGGAGGGTGGCACCCTACGTGGAGCAGCCAGTCATGTGCCTCATGCGCTGCTGATGGGACCACAAGTCATGACCCTGTCAGCAGGATGCTTGATGCAGGTTTTGCGGTAGGAAGCCTGACTCACAAATCTGCCGAGCCAAAATTGAAAAGTTAAACCATGCAGCTGCAAATGCAGAGGCCCCCACAATGCCAGGTCTCTGGCATGCAGGGCGAGGCCACAATTAATTATTAATTTGTAGGTTCCCAGCAAAGAATTGCAGAAAAAAGAAAAAAAGGTGCAGAGGAAAACGACAACTACAGTTCCTCATGCCTGGCTGCAAGGCCCATCTCATGTGGCGCTGTCGCCAAAGGGGAGTGATCAAGGGCAGAACGAATAACAGGTACAGGAAGTGAAGTACTGCGGTGTAGTGATGTAGATTTTCCTGTGAAAGAAATGTGCGCAATTACCCTGATGCTGCAGACACTGATGCAGAGAATGGACATAGTTGAAGATAAACTGGCACAACAGAAACCAAACAGAAAAAGGAGGATGAGACTGCAAAAGAAACTCCCCCAAGGACACAGAAATGAAAGGTGAAAATGTTAATGGCCCTACAAAGGAATAAAGCATAGATTGTAAGATGGCTATTAAGGGAAAAGAAAGAAAATTAAAAGCCAGTGTAGTGGGAGGACAACCTCCGCGACCTTCAGGACACTCATGAAAAGATCATGAGAAGGAACACCTCTTGAAGAAAAGGAAAACAGTACAAAACAAGTGGGCAAGCATTTGAGAAATGCTGGAAAATGTAAGGTCATGATAAAGATCTAATGGAGCCTAATGATATTAGAGCATTATCATGGAATGCACATAAGTTACTTAACAGAGTTACAGATGTTCTGTGACCTATTCTCGTGATCTCTCTCGCATACCAGAAAAGCCATTCTTATAGTAATTCCACTGTCTTCCGCCGACCTTAACTATAAACATGTACTGTAACTAACATGAAGAGACCTTAGAACACGCCCATCTATCCCTTACTGCTCGCAAACGTATGGCATGCTGTTATTTTTATGTCTTATGTCTTGTTTATACTTAAAATGCACGTTAGAAATGCTTATTCTGAACCACTAGATATGTAATTGCTATTATTATCTATATTCAAATGTCTTCATGCTTTATGAATACTCAGCAGTTCTGTATCCTTATCACAAGGCTTGTAAACACTAGAATTCTTCTCACATTCACCAGTATCAAAGGTTCCCCATTTTTTCACTGTAAGACCATCTTACATCTGTAAATTGGTGTCTATTCAATTTCAATCAGGTTTTCCACCATGTAAGGTTTCAAAACGAAGTTTTAGCCCAAGTGTAGCCTTAGTTCTCATGCATGTTATATGTGAAAGGTGAGCCTATACAGGGACAAGATCGGGGTGAAGTTACCTCATCCTTTTGAAATGTAATCTTTTGTCTCAATAAACTTGTCAGAGTCAAAGCTCTCTCTCTCTCTCTCTCCCTCTCTCTCTCTCTCTCTCTCTCTCTCTCCTTTCATAGACACTCTGTGACTTATCAGGAAGTGTTTGCCAGTTGTATTTGTCATCCAGATTCTCTATTCAGTGTAACACAGAAAACACCAAGAATAGGACAGTCACTGTGCATCTCTTTGGCATCAATACAGTAAAAGGGAATAAGAGAATGTTCCTTAGAAATGCACTTTATATATCTGAATCATGATTTCAGCAAACGAAGATCATCCAGAGCTGACTCTTATGGTATATGACTTTTAGCATTGATGAACAGTACCTTTAGATACCTTTAGATACATGTGTTTCATAAAATAAAGATTAAAAAGTGTATAAACCAAATTCAACATTTTGAAAGAATGTTTTAAATGCAATACTTTTTAGAGAAAATTTCAATACAAGGCTTAATTTTTAATGTAATATCCTTATGCTAAAGAATGTTTTAAATGCAATACTTTTTAGAGAAAATTTCCAAACAAGACTTAATTTTTTAATGTAATATTCATATGCTAAGGCACTAAACCACATAATTACACTGAGCAATACTCTGCCTAAGTACATTGCATGAGATCACAAATATATGTATAATAAATATGAAAATATATATCTTTAGTGTTCTGCTTATTGTGGCTGAGCAAAAGGGAATAAGGGGGCCTGGATTCTGATCATCAGAAAAAAATGTGGACCTCTAGTTCATATATGAAGATGTAATGACATGTGAATTTGCTCACTTAAAAACATTTCTTGGTTTAGAAATGTTCTTTCAAAAACTGAAGGAAAAGAAAAAATGGGACAATTCTGCAAAATCTTTATTGATACAAAAAGTATTTACAACAAAGACACTATACCACAGTTGTCATGCCAAATCTCTTTATTATCTAACAACACTGCACTGAAAATTAGTAAGCAACGGAAATGTACTTTACACACCTGATCTTGTACCAACATAAAGACATTTTGAAAAGGAAAAAAATTACTCAGAATTTTCAGTATTTTTGTCTCCTACTTTAGGTGGACTGGTAAGAACCTCATCAACTAAGCCCATCTCCTTGGCCTCCTCTGCTCCCATGAACTTGTCTCGCTCCATCATTGGTGCTGCAGAGGATTATACATTAACATTTCTTTAAGCTGATATGAAGTTTTCATCCACTACTTTAAAGTGGAGTACATACAATGGGATATTAATGGGAGTGTCATTCAAGATATGACTCCATTTCCAAGTTATATTGAAATATAAATAATTTAAATTTAGCTATCATTGTAAACATGAATTCAAATAACCATATACCTACCAATCTTTTCTATAGGCAAGCCAGTATGCTTGACATAAAGATTATTTAATCTTTCCTTCAGTCGAAGAATTTCTTCTGCCTGGATTTGAATGTCTGTTGCTTGTCCCTATATGTCCAAATCAATGCAGAAAAAACAATAAGTGACTATGACTCAAGATGGCTTTTGGGAATTGTAAATAATTTCATAATCATGTACAAATAGTTGAATGTATGAGCCATTGTAATGTCATAGATGGATATAAAAATGTGCGAGATATGCAAAAATAAAATACATTTCATGTATCATCAATTCTCCTCACAAATATTTTTGAAGTTTTGAAGTTTATACCAGCCACTATGATTGCACAACTTAATATAAATTTTATTGCTGGTCTCTCCTAATACATGTGCCTGTTTTTTATATACATATGTATATTTAGTCTTATCCACAAAGAAAAAGCTAACCAAAAGATAAAAATCACGCAGTCAAAAAATATTCTCACAGTTGAACATACCTGTGCACCGCCATGAGGCTGGTGTACCATGATACGAGAATGAGGTAGAGAGTGTCTCATGCCAGGACTTCCAGCTGCAAGCAGGAGAGATGCCATGGAGCAGGCTTGACCCACACACCATGTGGCTATTGGAGGCTGCACGTACTGCATTGTGTCATAGATTGCAAGGCCTGACGTCACAACACCTCCTGGACTGTGATACACCAAGAAATTAATCATCATAGGGCTTCCTTTTCTTTAGGGGGAAAAAAAAAAATAATAATAAATAAATAAATATGTATATACATATATATATATATAGATATATATA